CCCCCCCCCGCCCCCCACGGCAGCAGCTCGCCCCTCGCCTGCCTACAACCAGGGGCCCCAACCTGGGAAAGCGGCTTCCTGCCCCTGCCACGTCCCCCAGGGGGCAACACACAGGGGCCCCTTTCCTGCTCATACCTAGCCCGTCTCCAACCTCATTTGCCCTCTGTCATGCCCTTCGCCCTGGGCCATGCCCTCTGCCAGTCTGTGCCCAGCCATCCCTCCACCCATCTACATCCCCAGCCATGCCCTCTGCCAGTCTGTGCCCAACCATCCCTCCACCCATCTACATCCCCAACTATACCCTCTGCCAGTCTGTGCCCAACCATGCCCTGTGCCCCATATGTGCCCGGTCTGCACCCCAGCCATGCCCTCCACCCCTTTTGCACCCTAGCCAAGCCCACCTGCGCCTGGTGTGCATGCTGGCCATGCCCTCTGCCCCTCCAGCTAGGCTAGTACTGGAGGAAAGCGAGAGAGGAAGTGATGAAAAACTGCTATAAAAAGTTCCTCTCTTCTTTTCACCCAGCCCAGTGCCCCCATCACGGTCCCGCAGAGGAGCATTGTGGGTAGCAGGCGGGCACCCCCGCGGATGAGCACTGTGGGTAGCTGGCGGGCGCTCCCGCAGGGGAGCACTGTGGGTAGCTGGTGGGCGCTCCCGCAGGGGAGCACTGTGGGTAGCAGGCGGGCACCCCCGCGGACGAGCACTGTGGGTAGCAGGCGGGCACCCCCGCGGACGAGCACTGTGGGTAGCTGGTGGGCGCTCCCGCAGGGGAGCATTGTGGGTAGCTGGCGGGCACTGTTTGGCAAGAACAGTCCTTGGTGCAGGGCAAGACAGTGGAGTCCATGGCTGATAGCTCTTCACCCGCGGGTGGGACGGAGTTCGGGGGGCACGGGCCTGGGGGTGGAAGCGCGCACGCGTATGTGTGTGTGAGGAGGGGAAGGGGGTGGGCGCCTCACCGTGCCCGGGGGAGGCGCCGCAGCTCTGGGCTCTGGCTCCTGGCTATGGCACGGTGACCTGGTAGGGGCTGCCTGGCACGCCCTCGTCGCCCCATTTGAGGATGAGGACGTAGTCCCCCTTCTCCTTGACAGTGTAGGTGACGTTGTAGACTCGGTTGCCCACGTGCTTGACGTACACCTCCTCGCAGGGCGTCTTGGGGCCGTGCACGCCCACCATCAGCATGTTGGTGCCTGCGGGGGGCAGAGAACGCAGCGGGGGGTGAGGAGGAGACAGCGTCCCGGGGGGGCCCAGGGGTGCAGCTTGGGCCAGGTCCCTGCAGGGCACAGTGCCCCCAGCACCAGAAACCCCATGGAAACTGGGGAACCGGTGCTCCCCCACTATGCCCTCCGCCCCGCTCTCAGGGGCTCACCCTGACCCCCAGCAGTGCTGAAGGAGACCTGGTTCTGAGTTAACTCCTGCGCCCCACGTTAGCGCCCCGCCCCCAGCCACGTGACCCACCAATCCCGTCCCCTGCTGGACAGGCTCTTCCCATCCCCGTTAAGCCCCACCCCTCCCCACCAGGTCCACCCCTTGTGGCCGGAACCCGCCCTTCCCACTAGACCCCGCCCCTTGAGGTCAGGCCCCGCCCCTCCCATACCAGCCTTGCTGCAATCCACGGTAAAGGTGTTCTTCTGGCCCACGAAGGCCTTGGTGAGCCCGGGCCCCCGGGCCACCACCTTGCTGGCGTCGGAGGAGAACTTGGGCATGGAGCTGAAGCTGCTGCCCACGGAGGACGAGGACTTGGTGACTGTCTCCACCAGGACGGTGGAGGTCTCATGGAGGCTGTGGCCGCCGGAGAGACGTGGCCCTGGAGAGGGGCAGGGGGACATGTAATCAACCACCCCCGCACACACGGTGACCCCCTTCTGGCTCGTAGCCTCCAGCCAGCCAGCCCCTGGTGCCTGAATCCCACACCCGCTTCTCACAAGAGGCCTTGGGGGGCTGCCCCCAGCCTGGACAGGATCCTCCCCTGCCCCCCAGCCACTGGCATGGCTGGGACCCTACCCACGCACCATGCTTGGCCGAGCTCTGCCCCTCTCCCCGTGCGTGGCCAGGCTCCGCCCCTCTCCCCGTGCGTGGCCAGGCTCCGCCCCTCCCATGTGGCCGTACCTGTGACCTTGGCTTTGAAGGGGCTGCCCACGATGTGCTGGGGGCCGCCATACTTGATGGAGATGAGGTAGTTGCCGGGCGCCATGGGCGTGTAGGTGACCCTGTGGCCCTCGGGGCACTCTTGGCAGTCCAGCTTCACCTTGGAGGGGCCGTCGATGGTGACAGCCAGAGCGCCCGAGCCAGCGTTCACCGTGTTGACGAAGAACTCCGAGGACACGCCTGGGGCGGGACGGGGGTTAGCGGGCAGCAAGGGCAGGGCCTGCCGGACCCAGCCCCTGGACCCCAGGAGTAGGGACCCTCCACAACGGGCGCCAGGGGGCTGCAGCGCCAGAGGCTAAGCAGAGCCAGGGATAGCGATGGCCATGGGACCACGGGTACCCACAAGGGAGAGAGGCCAACCTCCGAGGGTTACACCTCTGGGTGTCGGGAGAGAGACGGGCACAGCCCGCCAAGTGCCACCGCATGGGGGGGCGGCCCAGAGCCGAGCGTCCCCTTCCCTGACCCACTGGATCTCCTTGGTGGACTCCCATCCAAGTGCTGGCGCTGCCCGGCTTGGGGACCAGCTCCGGCGCCTGGATCCCCTCCCACGTCCCAGGACATGGCACAAGGGCACCAGCCAGGGCCGCGCCCTGCCCCCCTGCAGAGAGCAGCCAGGCATGGGCTTGGGAGGGGGCCATGCGCCCCTACCTGTGATGCCGCCCTCCAGGCCCGGGCCGTACGCCGAGACGAGGCCCGGGTCCCCAGCCTGGCTCTGCTCCCCCACGCGGATCTTGAAGGGGCTGCCCGGGATGTGGCGCCCGTTGAACTTGACGTCGATGGAGTGCACGCCGTTCTCACGCGGGATGAACCGGATGGTGGATTTATCTGCGGGGAGAGCAGGGCTTAGAGAGCTCGGCCTGGCCCCTTGCCGGCGCCCGCCCAGCCCACCCGAGGCTCAGGGGCTCTGAGGAACCCGCCCGGCCTGGCACAGGCCGCCAAGGCTGCTCGCTCTGACCCTGAAGGCGCCACCCTCAGGCCAGTTACCGGCTCTGCATCTCCTGAGTCTCCAGGCCCCATGGGGCAAAACCACTCCCTGGCTGGAGCCTGGGTGCCCCATCCGGCCAGCCCCGGGCACCTCCTCCTGCCCATGGCCAGACCCTCGCGCCTGCTCTGAGCCCGGGCGCCCTCACCGCTGTCCAATTCCGAGATGTAGCACTCCTCCACCATGCCCGAGGGCGTGTGCACCTTGGCGTCGATCACACCCCGCGCCCCGTTGAGCTGCACCGCGAAGGACGCTGGCTGGTTGACCTTTAACCCCGTCTCCTGCGATGGCAAAGCGGGTTGAAGTCAAGGCCCGGGCGGCGCTGGGAGCAGCAGGGGCCGGTTCCCGGGGGCAGGCCAGCGGAGCCTTGGGTTAACCCAGGTTGGGACCCCAGCACAGAGGGGGACAGGGGGAGACCCGCACCAGTGGTCACGTCAAAGCCCTGCACCCTGCTAGATCCGCCCCCCACAGACCAGACGGACACATGGTCGCGATTCTGGGGTCTTCCCAGGCTGCAGGGACCACGGCCCCACTGCAATCGCCCCATCTGCTGGGGGACACGCAAGGGACTATGGGTTGGGACTGAGGGTCAGGGTTGAGGGGTACCGGCAGAGCTGGGAGGGGGACTCCAGGGCTGGGCTATCAGAGGGCTGCGGGTCAGGGTTGAGGGACGCTGGCGGGATTGTGGTTCGCGTCCCTCTGGTGCCAGCACCGCGTGCGCTGGCCCCTGGCACCGAACACTGTCCCTCCCCCCCCCGCCAGGCTGGCCACGTGGTACCTGGAGGCTGGTCACCGTCAGCCTGCGGGCGTCGTCGGAGAGCGAGGCCACCGGCACCACGAAGGGGCTGTCGGGGACGTGCTCCTCATTGAACTTGATGGACACCTCGTAGTCCCCTGGGGAGCAGAGCCAGCAGCT